CTTATTTAGTTACTATTTATTTACCTTTTCCATTTATTTATTCTTTATTCATTTTTTACACCCGAAAAATGAGAACTTTAGTTTTATTCAACCAGAAAAAGCATCACTGCAAAGAAAATGATTGAGTTTGGTCTTATAGCCTTACATACCGCTACAAATAGGTATGTAAATAAACGAATTAATAAATAAAAACATGTTTTTTTAGCACCATCGAACAGAACAATTAAGGAGTCTTAGCTGCGAAGAATCGACTAAGTGACAGTGACTAGTGGCGCTACTTCACTTCCCACTGTCCCCGTAGATTAAATCCTCAATCAATCAAAAATTTCATTTTCTCGAGAGTGATCCATTGGCATGAAACTAGTATGGAAGGACAAATAGCTGCACAAAAATGACTGGCTTTCTCAGGTAGACTAGATTAGCATTGTAAGGTTGCCATTATTCTGAGAAAAAACACTCTAGGTCAAAAGAATGGCTTATTCTCATGTATACGGTAGTAACTTCAGTCGTTGCCAACGAAAATGAGGTTTTTGCTGCTTCCGCAGAGAGAGCAGACGACCGGGAGTTGTCGTGACTCGGGGCAGATCTGATGGGCTTGCAAAAAACGAAATTGAAACTTTTCGTGGTCAAAGTGCAAGCTTAATATCGTCGTTTCATGCAGGGCTGAGCTGGGACTACAAAATGAATGAAGGAAATTTTGGGCCAAAGCAACTCCAGGGTAGGCCTAGAGCAGGAATTAGGCTGCATTCTTCGGAATCAGGACACTGGAATGGAATCTCACGGAAATATGGCGATTTAATTGAATTCACTTTTTCCTATAGTTTCCATAAATTCATAGAAAAACACGACAGCCTTTTGACGCCAATGAATTTTTCCCCTCATGAATTTTCCCATGAGACAAATTAACCAGTTTTTGGGCCCGAACCTGGGAGAACAGCTATGAATCATTGCGCCACCTCTAGAACGTCTGCCGATCACATATCAGATGAATCATCAAATACCTGTTTAGGTAAGTTACCCTAATGGAGTTCCCAGTAAAAGGAGAAAAGGCTGTTCGCTGAATAGACAACTCCTGCAATTCCTGTCCGATGTGTAATGGACCTCTCAGACTGGAGAAGTCTTCTGAAGTGAATCAGAATCGCTTGAAATGGGAAGGCTGACAGTGTGGGCGGGTTTTGAAGATCACTGTCCCTGGCCCTGTCCCCATTGCACCTTTGTTTTGAATGGGAACTATTGACCAATAGGGAGTAACCAATCATCAGAGAGTTCGGCGCCACCCAACAAAATGTGTCCCCCAATTTCAACAATTATACAAAGAAGTTTTTAAGAGCCATCATTGCTTCGATATAGGGCAAGGCCAATTCCCTCAGCTAGGCCAATGTGCTAGTCCTCTGCCATCTGAATGATTGTGTTATCACCTTGAATGTCCGTCGTTAATCGCCTCAAGTGAAAATTTGTGCTTAGGAGCTTAAAAACTGATTCATTGGTTAGGGGCCTAGTTACGGCAAAAAGGTTCCATTTTAGAGCCATCATTAAATCTCCAAAAAATAAATTAAGAAAAGATTGGGACTCGAAAGATTTCAAGGATGCGCCATGCATTCGACCTCTACATGTAGACGCAGAAACATGTAAGTATTCAATGATATCTCAAAAAATTATCCAAAATCCCTAGGAAAAGTTTCAAAATCGATTATTTAACAACTTTTTTTTTGTTCCGGTACTACTATTTGATGGATACCCGAAGGTGCTCAATACATTTGTTCACTGGGGAAAAGTTTTCAGAGCCTACAAGAGGAATGCCAGAGAAGACTGAAGTTTTCTAAATAGATTTTTACAATTCACAATTACCCGATGTAATCCTTCAGAAGTTATACTACCCTCTTTGTGAATAACTCTTCTGAACTGAATTCTCCAAAGTTTGCGGTAACTGTTGGCCCTTTGCCAAACTATCGAAATCGATGAAATTCTCCCTATTCAGACCGTTATTTACATTGCCTGTATGCACGTTATGGGCAAATAAACCGAATTGGACCGAATTGCTCAAACAACTCATAATTTTGCTTTTTATCACCTGTTACTCTAAAGTATTAGTCTTTATCACTAATTCTTATCATTTTTCATAGCTATGTACTGCCATTCCAACTGAAAATCAACACAACCATGTTCGACTTTCACTTAATCTTGGAATGATAGTGAATGAAAGCTTAAACTGCAAGTTAATGAAACAGCTTTTAACTTTGAAAGTAACCTCACTGCAACGGATAGAAGGTGATTAATAAAGTCTCACTCAAGTCTAAAAGGGTAGGAGGTGGAGCAACTAATCCGTCAGTTGCTTCATCTAAAGTTTAAGCGGAAACGGTAATGAAAGGGATAGCTTTGCTTGAAAAAGCTTGCACACTTCAGTGGATTCATTAAAGTTCAGCTATAGATACGGTAAATGTAAATGCTATACGAAATGAAGGGAAGTTGCAAATCCAACCCTGAAAAACTTTTCCGTCCTATCTAGGCTGACTAATTAATACACAGAGTTCTGCCTACGACAGCAGGGACAATTCCAGTGGGCTTGAAAAACCGATTGAATTGTGCAATTCCTCTTGGCTGCAAATCTGAATGCTCTTCAAGATTCTTTATGCGACAGCGATAAATAATTCAAGAAGAGTCAGCCAATCGACGGAGTTGAATGGGGTCAATCGGGAAGGCAATTCATCGAAAATGGCGTGCATGCATGGCGCAAACCAAAATTGATTCAGTGATGCCAAAAAGTCCACTTTTTTCTTGCCATAACATTTCCTAGTATGGTTTATAATGCCAAGAGAGGTCTACATTACATTTTTATGGCTGTAGTAAATCCCAATGGGGTATATCATATATGAAGCCATAAAAGTACAGTAGGAATTAGGGGGGGGGGGACTGAATCAGTGTACCCAAAATTGGTTACGGTACCTCATTTGAACCTCTTATACGATAAGTCCTAATGAAAAGTTTAGGACTCACTGCCCTGTACCCAGGGTTATTTTATTGGTAGAAACGAATTCAGTTCCACCTATGGACGTTTGAAAGGTGTTGGCCGAATGCATGGCTCAATCCGAAGAGATTAGGTGACTATGCAGGTAAATTTGTGGTCTAGGGCAATAATTCAGGATCTTAGGACTAGAAAGTTTTGCAGGGAGGTCTCTTCACAGATAGGACGCCCTGAAAAATCTTAACAGGTGGAACTTACTTTCAANTTATCAGCCGAGAATGGGAGAGTTTTGCACGGGGAACCCCAGAGTTCCTGTCAAAACTTTCAGGGAGCGACTTTAGACCGGAATTAAATAGTTTTCTTTTGAGATTATTGACATTATAAGATTAATGGGGGGAAAGAGTTGAATGCCACGAAACATGCCAGTTGTCTTGGAGATTAAAAGTGCAACACACAACGGAGAGAGGTTTCTAAGAAGTTCTGTCGACGGGGTGCCTTCAATGAATATTCGAGTAGTTTTTCAAGGAAAATATGAACGGATGGTAATAGACTAACGGCCAGAAATAGTAGACAACCCAACGGAGACCGAGACAGTTTGGGAATGCAAACGATTAACTGCCAGTCCGTATAATGGTAGCGCATACCTACTGGAATGGGATTACCTATAATACGCGAAAGAGTAACGGCGACCAAGTTATAGAGGTCATGAACGAACTACTATAATAGCCCAGAATAACTGAGAAATA